AAATTAAATAGATTTTGTCCGGTACAAAATATAATTGAAAGCCCGATTAGGGGTTTTCCCTTGGCGGCACTCATATAGTATAATATTGCCATCAACTGATAATCAATCATTGATTATTTTCATTTGATAATCAGCTCAACGATAAAACAATATCGATATAAATATATATACGTTGTGCCCCAGATCGGTTATTGCCCCAGGTGATAACTGAGGTACCTCAAATATCAATTAACAGATGAGGTGAGTAACTCGTTAATCGGTTACCTTCATTTTATCAAATAAAATATAATCATTTTGCGTGTCAATTAGTCGGTAAATATAATAATCTCATAACTTCGATCCTAGTGTCAGGCGTGAATGAACATTAATCAACTCACTTTGCCAACCTACTAGTCATAAATTTGATATTGATCGTAATATGAAAATTTGTTGACAAAATTTTCCTTTGCAGCTTCAGATTATAATCTTGACAAGATCGAATTAAATTAAAAAAAAACGCCCAATACTTCGATGTTTCAAGTTATATTAAATACTATGTAAATAAAATATTCTTTTCTTTAGTTACCTATTAAAACTTTGTATCAGTATTCTTTAAGTGTTAGTCTAATGTCAAACAATACAGCAATAAGAGTTAATTGCAGTTATGCACCTCATCTGACGATTACATCTGAGGTGCCTCAGTTATCACATGAGGCAAATATATATTAAAATTTAGGTAACACGTCACTTTTAACATTCATATATATATACGTAGAATTGATAACTTAATTTTTTAAATACGTGTTCAAAATATTCCGAATCCTTATTTAGAAATGCCAATCAGGGATAAATTACAAAGTACTCAGAATACATCGATATTAAGACGGATTCATATGTATGTTATTTTGAATATGCATTTGAAATTTATGGTCTTTTTCTTGGCGTCACAAATTACTTACGACTTATTATTACGTAGTAAAATCTGCCAAGGATTCAATCGTAACTTTTTGCTGCATAATGGCGTTCATCGTCGCCATTCGATACAAATAAGTTGATTTTTATGCATAATGTATATACTACCCATAGTCAGATATGCTTATTGTAAGTCCTCAATAGATAGCAAATAAAATTTTCTTAACTACATATTCATTGTAATCATTGTAAATAAATTCATGTATACATAGCAGATAGTATACATGGTATACATATGTACGTACGTACTGATCACGAAAAAAGAAAAAAAAAAGTCCATGATGAACAGTCTGGAGATTATCGATTGCTAGTCAATAAAGATCTTTCGTGCTTACTCGTTATTATATCAACAGCGATCATAAAATTTGAAAAGTAGTTAACAAGCAAAAAAAATAAACAATTTACCTAATGTTTACCACGGGTAATTACTGAAACTAGAAACAAGGATTACCATTACGGTTACGTTGTATAACCATTAAGTACAACAGAAACGGGAAATTAACGTATCATGCGACATGTTTCGAAATCAAGGAACACCAATAGCATTTAACCATACATTAAGATAAAAACTAGGCATATTTTTTAACTAAGCCAAATTTGTCTGCTCATTTTTATATAAAAACGCTTAAAAGATCTTTACCAAAAATTCTTTACCTTTCAAATTTTTAACGAAAGGGTGTACGTTCGGTCTTTATAAAAAGTCCTGGTGACTTATATTTAACTTACAACAAGATTCATACAGTCATTTTACTTCCCTTTCACGTTTCACTTAAAATTTGTTTGGCAGGAACTTACGAATTTACTTCAAATAATAATAATAATAATGGCATTTATAAAATTCTTGGTCAATCTCATTATCGCTATTCTAATCTTCACTTTAACTACTCATGCATTACCAATCCGATACAATAGTGATGAATTTTTTATCATGCTGTCGAATCCAAAATCATCCTCCTTAGAAGAAAACGACATGTTATTTTAACGCCTTATTGAAGAGAATTCGAAAGTATCATAAGCAAAAACGAAGAGCTCTTTCGGAAAAGATATTTAAAGGACTGTTGTATATGCGTGAAAAAAAAAAGCCATTTTTAAAATGACATTTATTGTATATAGTATCAAAAAAAAAAAAAAAAAAACATTTACATTACGAAAACACATTTCACCTTCCACCATCTCATTTTTTATTTTATTCCAATTCGTTTCCTAAACATCATTTTTTTTTCATCTCTACTTATAACTCGCAAGAAAATACATAGTATTTTATTGATTTAAAAATTTTGTATCAAAATAAACATCAAATATCGTCTTCAATACATACTATTATTAATTGATATACTGTATATGCGTTATATGAGAAATTATATATGCCAAGTTTTCTCTTGGCATAACTCTTCTCATAAACGTTTACCATTTTGTTCCTTTTTTAGCTAGTCCTCACGAAAAAAATTATAGTTTGCAATTTCTACAAGAAATTATAATTTATAATACACAAATGAGTTTCAATGGCTAAATTATTTAAATGAAATTATTGGTATCGAATAATATATTTATAATTTGTTCTTTATTTAAATTACAAAATGAAAATCCAATAAATGTATATCAATGAATTTAAGTGATTAATTTACCATGATAACTAATCGATCTATTCAATTCTTTGAAAACTCATATTTGACCAAATGACTTGCAAGTCTTAGTAATCAAAATTGTGTTGAATGATAGGTTATATGAAATGACTTAAAAATGTTGTTTCATTCATTATCAACGAAATATTTTATTTTATGAATTTCTTAAAGAATTATATTCATTTTCTTATGGTGCAAGAAAATAACCGATTTTCTTTTTATCTCTTTTATTATTATGGATATGTTGTGAAATGTGGTAATATCATCAAAACCCTTTATTAATACAAAAAAGTAATCTCATACAAATTTATTTTTAGAAAACCTTATATATGACAAAACATTTCCATTTCTATTTTTCGTGTAAGTCACGTGTAAAAATAAATCCCTCTTAGGTTATCGTTATGAAAGTATCATAAAGTCCTTACTAAGATTGGGAAACCTAACCTAAAATTTACAACTAAATTACATTATTATATATATAATGATTTATATATATATATTATATTATACATATATATATTGTTTGTTCGACGCGAAACGGAGGACATTGATCGGACAATGTCATGCATTTTGCAGTGTTCAAGTATTTTGATAATACTGTAAAGAATTTTTCTCAAGTTTAGCAATTTTGACCCGACCGGGTTAAAAATTAACTTTGCTTGGCCTTATGTCTTGCTGGTTGAATATAGCAAGCATAAAAATTTCTATATCATGCGTTTTTACTAGTTTAATAATCGTTCAATAGACATCATGATTTGAATATCGTATTTTTTTCTGATTCTCTGGTTATATGCATTTTTAATATCATTGGGTGTTCGTCCGTTACCGAGCTTTAAAGCAATTTTTGCCCATTTAGCCCCTCTAAGGTGCCACTTCAAGATTGTTTTTTCTTCTAATGGAGTAAACGGTTTCTTACTAGCTTTATTAACTGTAAATACATTGTTTTATATTAAAATCTATAAGATATATAATAATATCTGATAATATGTAGTAAACAATTTAATAACATACTTCCAGGTTTAAGATGACTATCCCATCTTTCACGGCACTGTTTAGCATTTCTAGTTCCCATTAATTCTGCTATATTTCCCCATTTTTTAGCACCACTTATTGCTACTAGTGTTCTTAACTTATTATCTTCCTAGATATATTTAAACATAATTGTGGATAAATTTACATTTACATAATCTCAATTTAAATTTTAATTATAATATTACCTCTTTTGTGAATCTTTTTGTTGAACGCTATATATATATGTGTATATGTTAATAAATGCTTATATTATCATGTAGGGCTGTTAATGGAGTATTACACCCCGGAGTATTTTAGGAGTATAAACCACCCCATACCGGTGTTGTTCATATGCTAGATTGCTATAGAAGTATAGTTGCCGTCCAAATAGTTATAACTATCAGTCCAAACTGGTTATATCTGAAATTTTGTTCCAAATCCCAATTCATACAGTAAGTTTGGGACAAGTTCCACGGCCTTAACTAGTCCTAAATGATGGTTAATACCCTAGAAAGTCCCAAACTCAACCTAGTTATGTTTTGACGGCAAATATATATAGAAGTTAAATAGAGTGATTTATACTTCAGGATTAAAATAATTTTTGACCAAATATTGTATATTAAAGATGAACAATATTATGGCATTAGAAGTAACACACTCCAGGTAAAAACTATGAAGTTTAGTCTAGAGTAGTGGTAACTCTGGAATGATTTGATTTTAATAATTATTCTGGCAGGGTATACTCCATATCAGCCCCATTCTCATGTTATGTCACCATACCTAAAGTTTAAATATATATTACCTCATTTGAACGTTTTTTATTCTATATTATGACAAAAAAAAAAAAAAAACACGCTTAGAATTCATGTAATTTGATTTTCAGAATTTAATTACAGAATTACCTCTTTCACAGGTGTTGTTTCCTCCGTCATTTTCTCACAAGGATCCATTGTTTCATCATTAACACGTGTCATTTCTTCCTCATTCGATGATATCATAAATGTCTCCTTTGTAATTTTCTCACAAGGTTTCATTGTCTTCTCATTAAGATGTGACATTATTTCCTCATTCGACAATACAATATCCATCATAATTGTGCTTAACTATTCTTAATGTATATATTTTTTTGTATTTTTTTTCTTTAATAGCTTAAAAGATTTTCTCGAATTAATAAGCTTATCAGGGAACAAAAGACGAATACATGTTCTTTTTATAATTTCTGCTTCTAAGAATCGTCTCGTGACTAAAAGAAATTTCTTGGAACAAAGAAATTTTTATTATGGGTCACAAGGTGAGTGATTTAAACGCTAAATGTTTCTTGATCTTGTACAATCCACGTTCCGTCATCAACCATGCTTTATAGGTGGAAAAGTTTCGAGCGTGACCAAATAACATAACAGGAAAGTGAAAAATTCGTATGACGGAGTATTGACTCCTGTCAAAAAAAAAAAAAAATAAAATAAAAAAATAAAAAATTTATAGTTACAAATGTACAAATGATTTTTTAAATTTTAGTGT